GACAACATCCTCTACATCGAAGGCGCCGAAGACTCGGAAAGTTGATCATCTAGTTTTCATTATTTGTCATTTTCATTATTATTTTGCTAACTTGTTGAGTGTGTAACGTTATTATTGATCTCTTCCGTATTTTTATCAATAAAGTTTAATTTTTGAGTTCATTATATTAACGGTTCATGCTGCATGAATCAAGCGCAATACCTATAAACTGAAAAGTTTACATCCGAATTAGAAGGAAGTCATTTAGGGCGCTGACGCCGAAACTCCTCGACGTGAAGAATCACCAGAAAAGGGAAAAGAAAATGAAGCTCCTCAAAAGTATACAAGAAGACTTTGTTGAAGTAAATACATTTTAGGAAAAAAAACTTGTTGATTTATTGCGTTCTCGCACTGGAGGCCTATACATCCCACCAGCGAAACTGAAGTTGATGCAAGAACAAATCCAGGTAATGTATCAAATGATAACGTGGCCACAGAAAAAATTTAAGATAGATCGGGTGAGCAATTTCAACGATTGAATTGGGGGTGTCTTAAGAAAAAGATCTAGGGTCCCGTCAACAAGGTCAACCCCAGCAATCTTGTCGGAATTGTGCGAGAGCTTCTTCAAGAAAACAGTATCCGTGGAAAGTTTGTTTTTTAGCATTTTCTCAAGTAAACAAAATTTTAGGGGGTTTGCTGACTCGATCGATAATTCAAGCACAAGCGTTTCTCCAACATTTCCACATGGATACGCTGGTTTGGTTGGCGTGATTAATTTCAAGTTTCCTGTTATTGGTGAATTGACACACTTAAGTATGTTTCACGGTTTTGGACTTTAGAAATTATGCATTTAGGCGTTTGATTGTGCAGTTCAAGCGATCTTTTCGTCGAAACGACAAAGCAACAACGGTGGTCAGTAAATTTTTGACATTTTCGACATCGCACATTTGATCAATCAACAAGTGGTATGCTGTTTTTCTTTGAATATGAATGCGATGCATATTTAGGCTCACGAGTTGCTTGCTCTTGAGATCATGCTTTTGATGCTTAAAACACCAACGGAAGATTCAGTGGAAGTGTGTATTGCTTTTCTGGAAGAATGTGGCGCAAAACTGACAGAGGTTTGCTTTATTTAGGAACGCTTATTGAGAAATGATTCGTTAGATTGCCCCGCGTGCCTTGGACAATGTTTTCTCAAGACTTCGAAACATTCTGGCTGAGGCGCAATTGGATTCACGTATTCGTCATATGATTGAAACTGCAATGGCAATTCAGAGAGATAAATTTGCGGTCACTTTTTAGTTCTATTGCTTGGCAAAGTTTACTTTTTAAAGACTACCCAGCTTTAATTGATGAACTTGATCTTATTTCGGAAGAGGACCAAATTACACATACCTAAAAAATTAAATTTTCGATCAACTTGGCTTTCAAACAAAATTTACAGACATTCTCAAATTGGATCCCGATTTCGAGAAAAGTGAAGCTGCCTTCAACGAGATCCGTGAACAAATCATTGGTGAGGCCGGTGAAAGTGAAGAGGACCAGGATGAAGAAGTTGACGATGAGGCAGCTGCAAACGGTAGACATTCAATTTTATGGATTTAAATTTTATAAAGCTTGAGACGAATCTAATGAATCGAATCACAGCAAAGTACACAATCACCGCTCGACTATCAAGAGGCCACTCACAAACTTCGCAAAATGGGTGTCAAGCGAGAATTGGAGGTTGGGCTTATTGATAGAATATAAAACATTTTTGGCTCTTTCCAATTACTAGGTACTTTAACCGTGGAACCCGCTTTTCTTAAATTTAAGGTACTTAGTAATAGAAAAGAGCCAGTTTTTTTTTCATTATAGCCGGAACGCATTCACATTCTCGTTGATTGTTGTGCACGGGAACGTACTTATGAAAGGTTTTATGGACTTCTCTGCGAGCCTTTTTGTCGGCTGAAACGTGAATTTCAAGTTAGTTTCAAAAGTATATGACTAGTATATGACCCCCTCAATTTCTTCACATTAATCGGTCTTGGTGGACTGACGTAAGAAAGATTTCAGAAAGCTAATAAGTGTATAAATGTTAGGGTGGATCTTCGCGGGTTTTTGGAAAAAGGCGGAAAGAGGAAGAAGTCTGACTCCTAACCAAGCTCTGAATTCTCTTCATCATCATCCGACGATGACAGCGACAGTGACTCTGATACTACTTCTTCAAGCTCGTCAGATTCGGATTCAAGTGATGATTAGTGATTTTTTATACTTATACTTTTATACTTTTAGAAGCAAAGTCAAGCGTGAAGACAGTCATCATCAGCTTCTTTGAGTAAGTATCCAGCCTAGATTTATCAGAACGGTATAAAGGAAGCATTTAGAATTCTTCAAGATTGCTTCATGATTCCTCAAGATTCAAAGGCCAATGATTTTTTTTAATTTCTTTGGAATTGGAAAAGTACTTGAAGCAGAGGAAAGCCACCGATCTCAACACAATTGTTTGTTTCTCCGAGAATTGGAAAGAATCTGTATCGAAAGTTCTGGGGGAATCGATGGAAATCATTTGATAATCTCTTTCGAAGAGCACAACAAATACGGACGATTGGAGAATCAATTCCTGTTCTCAACGAACACCATTACGGCTCATCTTTCCAAAAAAAATCGTGACATTGAGCCGTCACATTCAGTCGAGTAATTATTTTATTTTTCGCGTGCTCTTGAATTAGCCAACCTTATATTTCTCAGAACAAAAGGCAAACAAGAAAAGTCTAGTTTCAGATCTATTGAGTCAGTCAATCAGTCAATTATTTTCCACAAAGAGCCTGCCATTTCGAAAATGACCGAAAAAGACCTTACTGTGGGGAATAGCCAATAAAAAAGCTCTCTAATCCTGGTAGTGTGAATATTGGTAAATTCTTGAGGGAATCCTTCTATTTCTCGCGTCCTCATTCTATTTCTTGCCTCAAATCATTGTTGTTTTGTAGCAGTTTTCGTTTTAATAAGAAACCCAATTTTGCTTGGCAACAAATTTCTTCTTTGATTTGGTCTTTTCTCATCAATTCTGCTTCTTTAGTAGCTGTTTCCTTTAATTTTCACTTGTTCTTCGAGAAAATTCAGTCGTTTTATAGGCATCCAATCGTCTAGCAACCGAAATGGACAATCACTCGAATTCCCAACTCGGAGCCGATTTGTGGGATTTTCGCCAAATCTTTACTGCTATCCAAAACAGTCTTTAATTTAATCGAAGAGTTTAGGGAAGAAATGAAAAAGGACAAAGAGGTCGAGATGGGTCGATGGACAGCAAATATGGCTCAAATCGAGTCGAGTTTAATGGGGAAATGGCGGAGTAGGAGAGAAATCGGAAATTGGAACGGAAAATCGCCGAGATGAAAATGAAGGACGAGCTCGAAGCCCAATTGTATTAACTTTGTAATTTCCTTTTTTGACAAGCTCAACATATATGGTTAAAATGCGAACTTTTTTCAGAAGAGCTCAAAATACGGAAGTGAGAGACGGAAAAGCCAAGATTGGAGAGCTCGACGGGAAAATCAACGCGTTGCAGAGCAAAAACTCTGGCCTCGAAACCCAAATGTGAGTTTATTTGGTATCTCTAGTCGACTGAGACTTGAGGAAACAGTTTTTTTTGACAAAACACCCATTCCACTCAATTCAATCAATTCCTCTCTAGACAATTTGAAGGAATCAAAACGGTCGAAATTGTGAAGTTGGGGGCATATTTGTGAGTTTTTTTAAGTAATGATTGAGTCTTTCTCTAAAAAATCTGGAGTAAAGTTTTTGGAAATTCAGAAATCGAACGATGACTTTCTTGGATCTGGATGGAAGGTCGTATTTGGCAAAAACCACTTCTTGGTAAAAGGTTTGGTGCCTGTTGTGAACCAGGATTATCTTCATTCCAAGGTTATCGATCAGGAAATGACATTTGATGAAGCCATGGCATTTTGTGGGAGTTGAAAGAGCCATTTAGTCACAATTCACAGTCAGGAAGAGCACGCTTTTGTTTGGGAACTCGGTAAGAAATCGAAATGATTCAATTCTGCAAATTCATGATTTTGGTAGAAATTTATGCTTTATAAACCAAAAACAATCGATATTTATTTCAGCGAACGAAAACGATTCGGGATAAGAATGGCGACTTCTGAAGAAAGTGATTGATGATCATTGTTTGAAGGCATTGCTCTTTATTACGACCATTTAATAATTACCCCCAATAATAAAGTTTTCATTCTAGCCCACACGGGTTTCTGCCTATTGTGATCTCCATGATGAAACCACGGAACGCCGAGCCTTCGAATTATGCCGTTATTCTGGTTAATTTGGACTAATAGGGACTCCTTTGATTGAAAAGAGATCTTTGTTAAACTCAAACTCGAACAGCATCTCTCTCGCCGGACCTCTTCACTCGCTACTCGTGCCTCAAACCGATTTTCAAAGAAATCAAAGAGAAATTCGCTTAGCTACACGTAATTCTCCGCAAACGTCGCCAAGAACATCACGAGGGCAATGAATGGGGAATTTCGAATCAAATCCATTTTGATTGCTTTCAGTTTGACATCACTAAGGGCCACCTTACAGAACCAACAGTGAGTCGAAAATCGGATTTCTCTGAGTAAAGAAATTTTCATGTTTCACCGTTGATATTTCGATTTTCTTTCATTCTAAAACTGTTCTAGTTTCCCAATTGAAACCATTATTTCTATCAAAGAATTATCAACCAAACGAATCATTTCTTGACAAAAAGTCTTCCGAAAAGGGATGAAAGAATCATCACTTTCTATTTATTAATTTCTTTCAACAAGAAAAATTCTACCTTCAGTCCGATCCAGAACAAAGAATCCAAACGAACTCTTAGCTTCAGGTGGATTTCTGGGTTTTTCGGAAAACCTCTTATCTGAGATTTTGAACAAAGAATTCAAAAATAAAGAAAAAGATAATGTGCAGTTGTGTGTTTTCAGAAGATCGAATAAAATGGGATTTATTGGTTTTTGTCCATAGAAAAGAACACTAAGCATTTATCAGAATTGAGAGCTCCTTTTGCAGATAAAATAACGTTGATGGGTAGGAGACCAGACCATCCATTGCCCATGGCCGCTCCCAAGCTGAAATGTGCTCATTTCTGATGGAAATCCTTTGATAAAACACTTTGCGTTATTCCACAAAAAGAAATTTCCTCAGATTGATCAAAATATTTTTGGATTAATTATGCATTGGAAATAAATAAATGATAGATGGATAAAAGATTTCACGTGGGAAAACTCACCCTAGGAAAGCCCAATTGGAAATTGGCATAAATATTGATGATTTGGCTCTTTGAGAATCTCACCTCAGCGTGGGTGTTCGAATCCGGCTCTCCAACCATCCAATTCGTGAAATCCACCGAACTTCCATCCGTCCATTCAAAAGCATTTCCTTTGTTCGGATTTCTCTGAAAAAAGAAATTTTTATGTTTCACTATTGCTGTTTCAACCAAATTTTTTTTCCATTTTAAAACTATTCTAATTTTTTAATTCAAATTAGGTTTCTATCAATTTCTATCATTTCCGATTTCTTTCAAAGAACTATCAGTGAAACGAATCATTTTTTCACAAAGAGCCTTCCGACAATGGCTGAAAGAATCATTACTTTCTATTTATTTATTTCTTTCGATAAGAAAAGTTCAACCTTCAGTCCGATCCAGAACTCCCAATTTGAATGAACATTTTTCGCTGAAATAAATATCGGTTGTTTTTGGTTTATAAAGCATAAACTTGTGTGAAAATCATAAATTTTCAGAATTGAGTCCTTTCGATTTCTTACCGAGTTTCCAAACAAAATCGTTTTCTTCCTGACTGTGAATGGAGACTAGATGGCTCTTTCGACTCGCACAATATGCCACCGCTTCATCAAATGTCATTCCTTGATCGATAACCTTGGAATGAAGATAATCCTGGTTCACAACATCCACCAAACCTTGTACCAAGAAGCGGTTTTTGCCAAATACGACCATCGATCCCGATACAGTTCCAAGAAAGACATCGTTCGATTTCTGAATTTCTTCGAAAAACTTTACTTCAGACTTTTTAAACAAATACTCAATCCTTTTTCTTAAAAGAACTCACAAATCCGCCCTCAACTTCGCAATTTCGGCCGTCTTGTTTTCCCTTTCAAATTGTCTAGAGAGGAGTTGATTGGAATGGATGTTTTGGGAATGAAAAAACTGTTTTCTCAAATCTCAGTCGACAAGAGATACCAAATAAACTCACATTTGGGTTTCGAGGTCAGAGTTCTTGCTCTGCAACGCGTTGATTTTCCCGTCGAGCTCTCCAATCATGGTTTTTCCATCTCTCAATTCCGTATTTTGAGTTTTTCTAAAAAAAGGTCGCATTTTAACCATGTATTGAGCTTCTCAAAAAAGAAAGTTACAAAATTAGTACAATTGTGTTTCGAGATCGTCGTTCTTCCTTTTCGTCTCGGCGATTTTCCCCATTAAATCCGCCTCGTTTTGGGCCATTCTCGCGGAGATGGTCCTTGACATTTCCGCGACTTTCGAATCTCTGGAAGTGTCTCATCCTCAGATATTTCTTTAAGGGATCTCAAGACTCACATCCCTTTCAAATCAGCACCAATCTTCGTCGATCGATCATCACTTTGCGAGATTTTCGAGTTGATCTTCGTGAATTCATCACTTCTTTCCTTTTGTTCACATTGACTGAAAAAGATGAGTTTAAATTCTTCAAGATTTGTTCATTTCCCCCACATTTCCGTCTCGAGACCGCAGATTTTTGCTCGAGCCTCGACGAGTTTTGATTCGGTTTGATTCCTGAAAAGTCTTGTCATTGAGACGCAGCTCAAGCCTCTTTCTTGTTTATTCTATCAATTTCGCTTTTCTCCCAAAAAACCAACAATTCTCTTCGACAAGATCCCAAGAGGACGGTATCCGGACAATCCTTTTTACTGCTGGAATCTAAGATTATCGAAAAATCTCTTTCTGACCAACTTCAAAGTACGACGATCACCAGACAGAATCTCATCTCGATCATTCGGAGATCTGAATGGTTGAAAACATAGCTATTTGAAGGGAAAAGAATACGTGGGTGGATCCACTTGATCGCTTTGTTGAATCGACGATGAACTTTGATGGAAAAGGAGGAGAATCGTGATGAATAGACGGACGGCCATCACACCCATTCCACTGAATTGGTTGATTAGTTTTGAATTCGGGGAAATGGGAAGAACGAATGGAGGGACGATCCGATAAACAATTGTTTTTTTACGGAAAAGAGCTTTTTAGAGCTCTGAAATTGTTTAGAAAAGCGATCGCCTTCCAACCGACGATTGACTCATTAAACCGTTGCACCAATCGCTTCCAATAGCACTTCAAACAGAGAAAAAAAGTGGGATTTCAGGAAAAATAAAACCGTCACTTCGTGTGAAGTTGGTGCGTGATAAAACGCGGAGCTTGAAACAAAAATGTGGGTATTTTCATATGTTCCCCAGACTTTGCAAAACTCCATTCAATATTCTTTAATTATTTCAGAGATAATAAAACGGTCAGAGATCGAGAAGTGGCACATAGATTTGTGAATTATATCTGACAAAGACGCTTTCTTTGGTCGAAGCTTGTCTATGAGCTTATGGCCTTCGATGATGCCTAAGGCATATTGTCTCTCAGGGAAATGTTTGCGAATATGTAACTTTATCGTGAGACACAATATCTAAAAACCCTTTTTAATTAGGAAGTCACAAACTGAAGCCAAAGAAAACTCTTGGAGTCAAATATTTCACTGATGTCGTCATAGCGTCATAAATCTCCACGAGGCCAAACGGACGGAAAATGGCAGCAAAGCGGACGGCACCCGGAGTGATGACCTCGCTCGAGAAATTGTGGTCGAATAGAACTTCGAACGAAAAAAAGGTTGGTGAATGATAAAACGCGGAGTTTCAAACAAAAATGTGGGAATTTTCATGTGTTCCCAAGACTAAATAGAAAATACAACTAATTGGAGACTTGAAAACTCTTTGCGAAACGAAATAGCCAACGTTGTGACAAATTAAAAGTTCTTAAATATTTATTATTTTATTAATCACTTCATTTTTAATCAGTGCTGTACATAACACCTTGAATAAATGAAACCAAAGGAAATGATAGCATCGCCGTGCATAACGGAGGCTTTTCCCTCGACCAACGAGTCGTTGTGCCAAAGTTGTTACAGAAACGACCTTGATTGATTTCTCAGTCTTGCACTGATTGATTCCTCCGTCTGATTTCTTCCTCTTTCCGCCTTTTCCCAAAAGCTCGCGAAGATCCACCCTAAAATTTATACACTTATTAGCTTTCTCAAATCTTTCTTGCGTCAGTCCACCAAGACCGATTAATGTGAAGAAGTTGATGGCGAGGCGAGTATTGCTGGGTTGTCCCGAGGAGAAAGACCCTCAAATGCATGTTTATTGATCAAAGACTCAAACTAAAGACTATTGAATTCTAGAGAATCTCTAAACTCACGGATCACAGATCCTTTCATACAGCTTTGGAAGTCCCATCATCTGAGCCAATTCAAGGAAAATGGTTTTGATGTAAATCCTGCCCGAAGAAGTTGTCTGATTCTCGTTCAAATGGATTTCGCTCAAACCCTAAATTTGAACACCTTAAATATGGATACGAAAAAGTAAATATTCGCATCAAGACTTACATCCCAAGTAATGGCATCTGTGAAAAGCAAATGAGTGATTAAACGAGCCATATACCTCAGTTTCGTAATATCAAAGTGATGGATAGTTTGTTAAGTCTCACGAGCTATCGTCTCAAAAGCAGCCTAAAATAAAAAAAATAGTCATATACCTTTGAGAATAACTTGAAATTCACGTTTCAGCCGACAAAAACGCTCGCAGAGAAGTCCATAAAACCCTTCATAAGTACGTTGCTGTGCACAACAATCAACGAGCATGTGAATGAGTTCCGGCTAAAATGAAAAAAATGTGGCTCTTTTCTATTAATAGGTACCTTAAAATTTTAAGAAAAGCGGGTTCCACGGTTAAAGTACCTAGTAATTGGAAAGAGCCAAGAATCTTTTATATTCTATCAATAAGCTGAACCTCCAATTCTGGCTTGACACCCATTTTGAGAAGTTTGTGAGCGGCCTCTTGATAGTCGAGCGATGATTGAATTGTCAAGTAAACTTCGCGGCGGAAAGCAACGAGATTCGGCTCAGTGCTGTCAATGATTTCCATTTGTAGAGGTTGAGCTGAAATAAGTATTTAAATATTGCATTAGATTTGTCTGAAGTTTTATAAAATCTAAATCGATAAAATTGAATGTCTACCGTTTGCAGCTGCCTCATCGTCACCTTCTTCATTCTCGTCCTCTTCCTTTGATTCCTCTTCACTTTCACCGGCCTCACCAAATGTTCACGGATCTCGTTGAAGGCAGCTTCATTGTTCTCAAAATCGGGATCCAATTTGAAAATGCCTGTAAAGTTTGTTTAAAAGCCAAGTTGATCGAAAATTTAATTTTTTAGGTATGTGTAATTTGGTCCAAGTTGATGGACAATTAAATTTTTTAGTTCAGCCAATAAGCATATTTTCAGGATCGGTAGCATCTTCAAGGGGAAGGGTATGTGTAATTTGGTCCTCTTCCGAAATAAGATCGAGTTCATCAATTAAAGCTAGGTAGTCTTTAAAGAATAAACTTTTCCAAACAAAAAAAAAAAAAACTGACCGCCAATTTATCTCGCTGAATTGCCATTGCAGTTTCAATCATATAGCGAATACGTGAATCCAATTGTGCTTCAGCAAGAATGTTTCGAAGTCTTGAGAAAAAATTGTCCAAGGCACGAGGGGCAATCTAACAAATCATTTCGCAATAAGCGTTCTTCAATAAAGCAAACCTCCGTCAGTTTCGCGCCACATTCTTCCAGAAAAGGAATACACACTTCCACTGAATCTTCCGTTGGTGTTTTAAGCATAAAAAGCATGATCTCAAGAGCAAGCAACTCGTGAGCCTAAATATGCATCAAATTCAATTCAATTCATATTCAAAGAAAAACAGCATACCACTTCTTGATTGATCAAATGTGCGAGAAATTTACTGACAGTCACCGTTGTTGGTTTGTCGTTTCGACGAGAAGATCGCTTGAACTGCACAATCAAACACCTAAATACATACTTTCTAAAGCCTAAGACTGTGAAACCTACTAAGTGTCAATTCACCAATAACAGGAAACTTGGAATTAATCCCTCCAACCAAAACAACGTATACATGTGACAATGTTGGAGAAAAGACTTGTGCTTGAATTACCGATCGAGTCAGCAAACCCCTAAAATTTTGTTTACTTGAGAAAATGCTAAAAAACCAACTTTCCACGGATACTTTTTTCTTGAAGAAGCTCTCGCACAATTCCGACATGATTGCTGGTGTTGACTTTATTGACGAGACCGTGAATCTTTTTCTTCAGACGCTCAATTCAATCGTTGAAATTGCTCACCCGATTTATCTTAAATTTTTTTCTGTGGCCACGTTATCATTTGATGCATTACCTGGATTTGTTCTTGCATCAACTTCAGCTTCGCTGGTGGGCTGTATGCGCCTCCAGTGCGAGAACGCAATAAATCAAAAGGCTCTTTTTTTTCCTAAAATGTATTTACTTCAACAAAGTTTTCTTGTATACTTTTTGAGGAGCTTCATTTTCTTTTGCCTTTTCTGGTGACTCTTCACGTCGAGCACGTTTTGGCGTGAGCGAACTAAATCACTAATACTGAATGCAACCCAGGTTAAACTAACCGTTTCGGCCGTTCAGGACTGGCATCACGCTTTGGTGATCGAGATCTAAATAATTTTCATGAAAAAAGGTGCAAAGCTCTATTACCGCCTTCGCCTTTCTGGAGAAGCTTTACGTTTAGGAGCTGGTGACCTAATTCAGCTGTAAACCAAGACAATCTTTAAAACTAACCGTCTCCGCCTTTTCGGTGAGCGGTCGCCACCTCTGCGTCTGGTGGTGCCTGCCGTGGTGAACGTTCTTGTTTCATCATCATCATCATTTCATTGTTGAATGTTTCATTGCCATAAAACTGAGTTCTGAGAAGTGCTTCACACAACAGCAACAGCATTTCCTTTTAATTCGCATGTAAACTTTCTAGTTTATAGGCATTGCGTTTGATTCATGCACCATGAACCGTTAATATAATTACCTCAACAAATTAAACTTTATTCATAAAAATATGGAAGAGATCAATAATAACGTTACACACTCAACAAGTTAGCAAAATGATAAATAAGGAAAACTAGGCGATCAACTTTCCGAGTCTTCGGCGCCTCCGATGTAGAGGATGTTGTTGCACCTAGATTTAAACAAATTAGACAAAGGTCACATTAATCACCTTATTAACATTTCTCCCAAAGCTCCAGTGTTTGTTCCCTCAATGTATTCCTCCGCGTTAGCCATCTAAAAGATAAAAAATTTATTTGTGGATGCCTAGGCCTAAGCAAGCTTACTCGTCACGAGCTTACTCGTATCTTACTTTTCACAACAAAATTCAGGACGTACCTCTCTAAACCAGCTTTAAGCTATGCCATAAAAACTTTACACAAAGACAACCCCACCTGGACATTCATGTAACCGTCGACCGAGATGAGGACGCCTCGATATTCCATTCCCCACTTCAATCTGCACACAACTGGCTTTCCGGCCAGTCCATTGAGGAACGGCTTTGGGTTGACTGGTTGAACAGACATTCTCTGAAAAAAAAATTAAAAACGAATTTAAGTAGATAAAACGTTAAAGAGCAAGATTGACGCGGGAAGGAGTCCTCGTAAACAAAAAGAACGGTTTTACGGAATAATTTTTGGAAGAAAAGGAGAAAAGGATTCGAATACAGGACAGGCATCTAACTAGGCGCATTAGAAGGGCAGTGTGGCTTTTGCACGAGAGAAGACTTTTGCTCGACTGAACTCTTTTAAACCGCTAGAAGTAAGTGAAAGATATTCAGCTAAATAATGAAGTTCTGCATTCTTTAAAATAAAATGCTTATGAGAGTGCTTTTTGAGAAATTTTCGGCGCTAAAGCTTACACTTTTTTAGACATTTTTTTATTTTGGTGATACTAGCTCAACGCCTCTTTCTCATTATTTTACCTCTTTTTCGTCATAAAAACATACAAAATCATTTAAGCAATTTTTCAAGAGGGCGATACTGG